GGGAGGGGAGGGGAGGAAGAAAAAGAAGGGGAGGAGGAGAAGGAGGAGATTGGAAGGATGGAAGGAATGAAGGGAGGGAGGAAGGAACTAGTGAAGGAAGAAGGGAGAACCTAGCAATAATGTCCTTGGTCAGCAGCTCTTTTTTTCTCAGGGTAGGTGTTAGAAGCCAGACTAGGAAAGGGGTGGGGAAAGAGGAACAGAAGAGGTGGGGGAAGGGGAGGGATCAGGGGAGGGGGAGGATGTGAACCTTGGTTAGAGAAATAAAAGAAAGTAAGCCTTTCTGGGGACAGTGAGTGCAATCTCCCTGCACACCCACCCTTGGGCAAGGACCCAGAGACCTCTGGTGCTGAGCACAGAGGCTGAAGTGCTACAGAAGAACTATAGAAGGACGGAGCAAAGCCATGGTAAGCTTTTCAGCCTAAAAGATTTCCAGATGCTCAGATAGAACCTCTTCTTGGGATGCAGAGGCAGGTGGCAAAGGAAAAGAAGCAACTCACTTCCTATTCGGTTTTTAAAAAGCCAAAACTAAAAATGCTGAGTTTAAAAAGTGCTCCTAGAATCTCTCTTCTCAGTTGTGCTGATTTCTTCTCCTTGACTTGTCTCTGGTGAGGTTCTTGAAGAAGTGCTACTATCTGGCTGAAATTAGCACTCTTGTGACTAAACATTGGCGCTGCCTGAGAATTGATACACTTCAGAAAAGATGGTGTTAAGATGTGAAGAAAATTTGTGGTTGCGTCATTTGAGTTGCTCAAAATGTGTTTCTTTCTAGTTGAAAAATAAATGAACTCCTTTTTTTTGGTAGTGTCTGTTTGGTTACCCAATTCTTTTACGTATTTGAAGCATTGACCCATCATAGTCAAGTGTGAGATTTTAACATTAAATCTAGACATCAATAGCTCATTAAAGACCAAAGAACACTTTAAAAATACACATAACTAAATATCAAATAGTTTCATCTGACAGCTCAGCAGATAAGTAGATACAAAAAAATTACTAAAATGTAGAAAAAAATCAGAACAGTAACAATCAGCAACTTGAGGCTAAAATATGAAAAAACAATAACATCAACTATGCATCAGTTTTGAGGCAAATTTAATTCTACTTTTTCACCCATGTCTGAGAAATCTCTTGCCTCAGACAGGTTTAGTAGGCATAAGTGTTATACTTTGAACTTTGAGAAAGTTGTAGGCATCTCCTCAAGTTGCTACAAAATTGTGATTTAGAGCATAAGTCTGAGTATAATTTTGTATTTTATTTGCAGATATTTCCATGGAAATGTCAGAGTGCTCAGAGGGGCTTATGGAATGTTTTTGAGCTGTGGGCCTGGACTGTGCTCTGTTGTGGTATGTTATGATATTTATATATTACTAAGCTTTTTAAAAAATTTATGTTCATTTTCTGGTAAATGTCCACTGGGTGTACATATTCACAGGTAAAATTATTAGGTAGATAGCTACCCTTTCTACAAACACCCCTTTTCTTCCTCTCACTTCCCCAGAAAACTCCTAACCTTGCCCCACCCTTTGCTGCAGGGTTTATTTTATGACATTCTTTACTCATTAATCATAACTGTCTCCCAGGTCTCTGTACTTTTTTGATATGTTTAAGTTGATCAAGATTAATTATGTTTTCTTTGCATCTGTTATTCCTTGCTCAGAATCCTTAGGAAAGTATAAAAATTGGATCTGTGTTTTCTTTATTTCTCCGT